GGGGGGGTAGGCTACACACAAATATAGCATAGAGAAAATAGACAGAGACAAGTAGGTCTACATATTGTGTGCTCTATTTATCGATTAAGATTTAATGATCGTATAATTGCACGGCAATCTGACTGCGCCGATCGGTAAATTGCACGGAACCATATTATAGAGTTACCCCTCCTTGAGTTACCCCCACAGAATTCTACACTGAAGTGTAGAATTCTGTGGTTACCCCCTTTTTCGTGTCGCGTGAAAGCGCCAAACATAATAAATTATTAAGTTATTATTATGTAGGCCTAGATCTAGATGTATGCCTAACGAGGGAGGGAGACTTAACAGCGACTTTCAATGTTTCGGTTCACTGAAGTGCGACATTTATCTCTAGATTCCCGAGGCGAAACCTTAGGAGGCCTACCAACCCGAGTTTAATCTGAAACAATTTTCTTAGAAACCGACACCTGGCCTGAATGAGTCTTGAACTATTTGATCTTTGAACTTTGAACCTATGGTTCATGACTGTTGACCGATGGCCGAGAATGACCGATGACCCTGCACTGTGTTCTCAGTTCTCGCTTACTCGCTTCGCTTACAGTAGTAACAGGTAAATTCGGTGTCTAAAATCTAAACAATAGGCTTTCACGACTGATCTTTTTTTTGTTTTACCATCAAACCATTGTATTGTTAATTGTTGTTGTTGTCGATCCAGCAACAGTTTGGCCCTCACCCTTTTCTGTCCATCAATCAATACCATGGCCCGCATGATGTAGAGATCTAGACTAGAGTCTAGATCTAGATCTAGATTCTATTATTCTAGTTGTAGATCTAGATTCTATTATTCTAGTTGTTGTAGGCTAGTAGTTGTAGAGTCTATTAGATCTAGATATCTAGAGTTACTAAAAGCATATTAAGTAGTAATAGCAGTAGCGACGATAAGTGCAGCAGTGACAGTGTTTATGATGAATAATAATGCCAATTAATTACATCTACATCTACATCTAGAAATCTAGATCTAGATCTAGATCTAGATCTAGATCTAGATTAGATCTATATCTCTAGAATCTAGACTACTGTAGTAAGTCTCAGAGGAAGAGCTGCTGCCGCTGTCATTTTCACAATTTTCAGAGCTGTGCAGTGGAACAGGTGATGGTCCTGGTCCTAGTCTCATACACTGTTACACAACGGAAACATTGGGCATTGGGAGAAGCTCAGGCGTTATTATGTTCAAGTGGAGCGAACTGTTCTGTTTGTAGGTGGAAGACCGTGGTCTGTTTGTCTCTGAAGGTGGTTGATATAGATCTAGATCTAGTCATTTTTCGTTTTATTGTGGTCATTGTTTTGTTTGAAAACTGACCTGCCTGTCTTTTCTCCAAGGCCAAGGCCCATTATAATGGTCATCCGATCTTCAGTTGATCTTTGTTGTATAATGCTTTTAATTTAATTTGCAGTTATAATGTTATATGTTATGTTAGCCAATATGAAGTTGGAACATTTGCTTGGGTTGTTTCTGTCTCAATCCCTTTTTGGTCACGATCATGTCTGCTCTGTCGTCTCCAGGAAAGTACGGCCTCCCCATCAGAGTTTTGCATTAGGCTTGTATTCCATGTATATATATATATCTGGCTTTGGTACTGTGCCTTTGAATGCTGAGCAATCTGTATGAACGTGTGTCCAGTAATGTAAATAACTTTTGATTGTTTGATGTGATGCATGCATCAGCGTCACTGGATCTGAAGATTTTGTGCTATTGTCTCTGAGACGTTGCATGGCATTCCATATTATCCTCGTGACAAACATCAAATTATAATGGTAAAATACGGAGAGGGGGAGGGGTGTGCTTCCTTAAACCTCCAGTATTTAGAAATCATGTCACTTACTTGGTCTTTTGTTTTCCGACAATGAATCCATGGCGCTGTCGCTATACATCAACAATTTTCCTTATACTTAAAGCACAAAAATGCATGATATGATGCTGTTTTGGAACAAGAACTGCACACTCACTCCCATTTCCTGATACACTACTTTCTAGAAATGAGGGGGTCACACACACACACCCCCCCCCCCCTTGCTCACTCCCATACCCTGAACCCTCCAGGTACACCACCCCGCCTGAAACCTGACGGCCTACTATTTTCACTTTCTTTCAATACATAACTTTTGTCTTTGGCGTATTGGTCAGACTTTCTTAGATTTGCTCATTGAAGAGATGTGAATGTGATTCCTGCATGAGGAAGCTATTTTATTGAGTAGAGCTATCTCCCTCAGTCTTCTGAATATTGTTTCTTCTCTGTCTGGATTGACCCTGGCAGACAGGGTTGATGCAGTCTACTTCCTAAATTGATCTCAGTTGTAAAATGGATGGGGATGTTTGTCAGTTACAATTGTCTCTTTGCTGTCAAATAAAGATTCTCCAGCATTTTTTCTTCGGATGAATGTCAAACAACTTTTCAGAATTCATAACTGCTGCTGACTGAATTATTGTTTGTAATATAATATATTATATATATATATATATTCCATGTAGTTTTGTTTTGTATACTGGATTTTCCATTATAATCCTGCTTTGCTTGGATTGTTTCAGTCCTTTGAGAGTTACATTGTTATAAGCATCGTTCCCATCCTGTAAAGCACAATGGGAGTAGAGGTTGTAGTGGTCGGAGCTGGCATAATAGGTCTGTCAACTGCAGTGGCCATCCAGCAACGGACCCCATCAGTGAGAGTGACGATTGTTGCAGACAAGTTTGGTCGAGATACAACGAGCATTGGAGCCGGTGGCATCTTTGCGCCCACAGCAGTCGGGATTGATGAGAAAACTTCCCAGTGAGTGATAAATGAAACATGCAAATGTATGGTTGATGGTTACCGGTGTGTTTTTATTTCGCTTTTTTGTTTTGTTTGAGATAAGTTTGATACTGGTTATATTAATAATTAACAACTGAATTTCTGAGAATATTTTAAGTCAAAAGAAGATAAGTGAAGCAGTAATAGAGGTAGCCTGTATGATTTTTACTTTCTAGGAACTACTTTCATCTTTAGAAAGCCCCCTATTGAATATTTCCCTCAAAAGACTCTTGTAAGCTCCGACAGCTTTCCTCCAAATAGCATCATTAAAAATTGTTTGCCAACTCTCTGTTTCCATTTTTCCTTCTTTTGACTCTAAATTTGATGACCTTGTGGTGGTCTGAGTCTGATAGAAGTAAAGATTTGGTGCAGGTCCATTTGATGGTAAACCAAGATAAATGATAATACTGTCTACCATAAGTCCAGCCTGACTGACCACAGTCTGACAGTCTACCATGAAAATGAATGCATTATGCTGTACTGTCTGCAAATGATAATTTTATACTATCACTCTCATACCCCCCCCCCCCCCCTAGCAGTACGTGCTACTGACTGAAGTGTCTTTAGGCCAGTCCTAAAGGGGGTATATTAACATGTTCTTATGCACTGTTGAATTGTAAATGGGCTGATTTATCAATGTCATGCTCATACTGTGCTGGAACAACATAGGGGGAACTGCTGCTTTTTCTTTCCTCATCCTTACTATCGTCATTTTCCCTCTATTTTTTTTGTATGTTTGTCATTTTCTTGTGGACTGCTATTTCCGGGGTACCTAGATAGTCGAAGCTGTTTAGGCTAGAGAGATGAGCAGAGTAAGCCTATTCCCTGTTTAGACTTTTCTGTTGACATCCACCCCTTGGCGCTCTTATGACCTTATGCAGTTGCGAGGGCTATAAAACCTTACTAAAACTAAATTTAACTCCCATACCTAATGATTTACTTTCAAGAAATAGATATAGCATTTCTTAATGGGAAATTTATGTCATTTTCCTGTTACAACATTTTTGTTGTTCTAAGAGTAAGTTAGAATCTTCAAAGGAAGGAACTATAAGTTATAAGATCATGTCCCATTATTTGTATTATGTTGATTGTGTTAGCATTGAGTTGTTCTGAATGAAATTTAGTAAGTCTGCTTTTTTGCAACAAGTTTAGATCTAATCTGAATGTATGCGTTACCATTTTCAGCACCAAAAAAAAAAAGAAATGTTTAAAAGCACATATTTGTATCACCAACCAAAACTTTAAGTAAAGAAGAGTAGACATTGCGACCTGTAACAATTAAGTTTATTAAGAGGGAAAGTTAGTATACTGATTTTAGTTTTCAATCAAGAAGCTGTTGAACTTTTGCCCTTTGGCAATAGCTTTATAAGATCTTCTAATAAACGGAGGTAGAAATCAGTTTTCTGTTATTTTTCTCATTTGTTCTTATATATATAATACTTTCCTTTCTTTACATCTCTTTCGTTCTTATAAAGCTTGTGGGCCAGTGAAGGAGCAAAGCATTTCTTTGACTTGGGATTCTCTGCTGAAAGCGGGACCAGTGGAGTCAATCTGATCACTGGGTTTGAGCTCATGAATACAGACAAGGTAGGCCTGTGTAAGCTATATAATAATATGGAAAATGAAGTTTTGAGACCTGATGTACCTTTTCTTTCTTCATATAAAAGCTTTGAGCTTCTTTTTGCTATTCCCTTGGCTTTCAACTGTAAAGCTTATTCGTTCCATCAGATTTAGATTACTTCCATAATTTAACCTAGCAATATCTTGCTAATAATGAAATGTAATGATAATAACAGTGGATGTTGGAGAATGCCACTAGTATTTGTAGATCTTACATGTCGTTTTTATTCGTCTTCTGTTTCAGTCTGTCTTCCTTTAATTTTTATATTAAAAAAGTTGTTGTTATTATGTCGATATATTCTTCTATTACACTCAGTCAAATCTCAAGAGTTATGATAGTCTTACAAAAAGCATTATTGCAACTGATATTTGCCACAACGGTTTTTTCTTCTTTTTTTTGTCATGAAAATAGTTGATGCTGTTTTTGATTTTTTAATCAAGTGTAGTGGTACAAATTCTTCTAAGTGGAATTCAACTGTTAACTTGATTGACCAAGGCTAAAAGAGGGCTAGTGACTGTTACATGCTGAATGCTCACCTTTCGAAAAGACTTTGTGTTTACATGGTTGTTAAAATTTAAACATTAACAAAGCAAAAAAGAAAAAAATGGGAGATAGAAAATCAACCTACAATGTCAGCCTTTTCCTTTTCGTTTACCCCAGCTTGTTGAGTCACCACTTGGCCCTGTACTTGATCAGTTGTTCCACTTATTTGATATTTCAGAAAAAGCCATGGTTCCAGTACATGCCATTTGTGGCCAAAATGACCCCAGAGCTTCTCCAGCGCTTTGCACCATATTACAAGTAGGTTTTGGTGTGTGGTGCTAAAGGCTAGTGCTGGTGGAAATCAATAAATGGAAGCTGCTGCTAAGTCATAATTTTTTAATCTGGTAAATAAAAATACAAACTTCTGTGGAAGTATTTATATCATGTCATTATTAATCTTGGTAACATATCAATCCATCATCTTTATGTGTGTGTTAGAGGGAAAAGGGTCTCTGTAGTATATAATTACAGGTCAGATTATATTACATTTTTCGTCCAAAAATCTCTACTTGTTGTTATGCTTTTAGTAGATGCCTGTTTTTGCAGGTTCAGGAAAACTTTATATATATTTTTTTTCTTCTTTAATTAAGTGCAGTCTTGCTTAATGTCACTCAAACATATTGTACTTTTCTTTTCCTGTATCCGTGTCATTACTATTCATTGTTTTAAGTCCTCATGTGTGCTGTCAATGTGGAAGTTCATAATTTTGCTATGTGTTAAGATCAAAATTTCCCATTGGGCATATTGATTATATGCTTCAGGCATATGTTGACTCTGTTGGTCTCTTGCCGATGATATAAGTTCGAATCACAAGCAGGGTGTTCCTGAACTTTGGGAGCTTTTATAACTTTCCATGAATTTGATTCGGGCCTACTGTACTGAAAATGGATGATACATCAAAGGTCACACCTCTTGAAAAAATTTTCAGTGTTGAAAAGGATGTTGAATCCAGACCTTACTGTATTATATTTAATTCATCAAGTGCTTGTTTGTGTTTGTGAGCTGATCAAAGGTACCGGGATTGATGCACCTTGTTGATTTGTCAAAGTTCATATTGCAATCTTTTCTCAGAGTACTGAGTCAGAGGCCACTATGACTTATCACTTTGAAATTCTTTTTCTTTCCAGATATGGGTTTGTCTATACTACAGTGATTGTAGAAGGACCAAAATACCTGCCTTGGCTCATGAAAAGGTACATTCAAATTTCAACTTAGTCTCCAGATTTTAGTGATCTATATTTTTTAATACAGAACAGTCACAAAATCTAATGAGGCCCTTTAGAATAGGAGGGTAATATTAAAATTTGGTTAAAGGAAAGTAGACATTGATGTACAAGTATGAAGACGTAGTAGTCGAAATTGTACAACATTTAATGTCTGTAAAATAAAAATTGTTGAATTTTCAGAGCATTGGAACTTTTTGGAACAGACCTGGTACAACAACATACACAGTATTACATCAACTATTTTATTCATAACTGAACAAACACAGAAAGATGAGGTCTAGAAAGACATTTATTGGAGAAGGCAGCCGATAAACCCCTCAATTTCTGTAGTGTCTTTCTCCACTCTCACCCAGAACATTTACTCCTTCCTTGTTGATGCACATGACAATTCTGTCCGTCATCTTGACAGTAATGAAATGCTTGTAAGTGGCACCTACTGTCAGAAAATTTCTGGGGTTGGTCGCCTGCCTGGTCAATTGCTTGAATATGTTGCATGATGGTATGCCCATTAGTTTTGGAGCAACCCTGCACCACGGCGTCCATATCTCCACAAAATTGCGTCTGCAGACAACCCAGATCCGTCCTGTCGAGCCTGCAAGGAGGAGGACGAAACTATGGACCATGTGTTCCTGCAAACTATCGTGCCAGAACCCGTCTGCTTGGACATTTCAGTAACCCACTTTCGGCCCTTTTTAAGGACCCCCGGGCAAGTGTTGAGTTCCTGAGTGCTGTCGGCATCGCTGACCGTTTATGACGCCACAGCGCCAGAAGAAAGAGAGAGAGAGAGATCCTTGCCTTCATAATGCAGACGTATTTTATTTTTCATATCTGACAATGCTGCTTCCTCAACTGCATGTGGCATTTATAGTTTCTAAGTCTCATTCAAACGTCCTCATATCCAGAGGTTGTAGTTGTAGCCTTTCCAGCTGATTGTGACCTTCATTGCTTTCAGCGTCCTCTTCTCCACTAACTTAATAACATCCATGTCAGTCTCTTTTCTCCAGTTTCCTATAACAGCCTTCTGCAATTCACTAGCCAAATCACTCTCCTATCCATTATATCCATCATCATCATCACTCCATTCTGGTGCATATGATTCCTTTACACCCACTACTCGATATTGATCCAAGATATTTTCTCACTGGGTTGAAAAAGAAATGGTTTAGTATTCTCTCTATCACTGTACCTTCTCTCTCTGTCTCTCTTTCTTTCTGTCTCTCTCTTTTGAACTTTAGCGCAAGCTAAGTTCGAACCCAGGCAATCCATATATGAAAGGATTCCCGGACGAAAGCCACACAATGTATATATATATATATATATATATATAATATATATACATTTATATACAGTCAAACCTGCTATGACGGCCACCTGTACAGACCGCCACTTTCCATTCCCCCCTTGTGGTTTCCCTGTATACTTTATCTGTGTATAACGGTCACCTGTCCAACGCAGCAGCTGCCACCTTATTTTATCAACCCAGAGCCAAATTTACCTGTCTCGGGCGGCCAGGCATGGTCTCTATAATCGGCCAATGCTCTGTCATAAATTCTAAATGGGCCTCTGACGCTGTGGACAGGCCATCATAATCCATTCACCTGTCATTATTGTTAGTCCCTCCAATGAATGTTTACCCAAATTGACCAATGGGTAACAATAAGTTTTCAACTGATGGTGAGGGAAGCGTGTGTCCGTCTTTAACTATAAACCCCACCCACAACTCATACAAATTATATGTGAAGTGACTGGTCCCTGTTTCATTTACCTAATCTGTAACAAAGTAACAATGGATGTTAACGCGAATTTGCGACAGAAGCGTTGCTCGTTCTCCGAGTGGTTGCGACCCAGTGTTTATTTTACCATGAAATTCGGTCTCATTGTCTTACATTCTTTATTTTATCCTTGCACAAAATCAGCAACCAAAAAGCTTACCAATAAAAACCAAACCAACAGAGCAACAACAGCAGAAAAATCTCTTCTTACACTCCTCCCCCCCCCCCCCCCCCCCCCCGTCACTCAAAAGAAAACAGAAAACCCTTTTTTGAGTTCACCGTATGGCAGTCGTAAGCCTGAATCAGCCCCGGTTTGGACTTCAGAAGAGAATGGTTTACTTTCTTCATTTTGATCAGTCCTGCCTAAGACAGCCACCTGTGTTATACGGCCACTTTTCTCTATGACAATGTGTGGGCTCTTTTGGAACTTGGATAATCTGGTGCGTTGCTCATGGACACATCCTAATGATCATCAATTTGTAACTCATCTCAAACACTTTTTTTTCACAAATGTTCCGATATTTTCTTTTTGCTGTTATGTACATAAAGAATAAAACCCTTTTCTAAATTCTGTTTAATTCTCAGATTCAAGGAAAATGGTGGTAAAGTTGTGGAGCAAAAGATCAGCTCTTTTGAAGAGGTGAAACATTTGTTTGTAGTAAGTTAAGTTAAATTAGTCTTGAACTCAGGCTTTATTTATGACCTAGAAGATTTATTTCCTTTGCAGGTTGCGATCAGACATTCGTTTATTAAGTGCACAGATAAAATTAATTGTTTATTATTGTGGGGCGCCTCCAAAAAAAAAGGGGAGAAAAAGTACCCCCCTTTTTTTGGGGTATTTATTTTATTGGGGGGGGGGGGGGGATTCTTTTTTTTTTTTTTTTTTTTTTGGGGGGGGGGGGGGGGGGGTGATTTTTAAGACTGCTTTTCTTAGAACCACAAATTGTATGGAACGGTGTGGCTTGAAGATCTCTTTTATCTCAGTCAGGTCATTCTAGGAGGCTGGACCTCGTTTTGTAAAGTCCTTCTCTAATTGAATAAAAGTAAAACATTGAAAAAGCTTTGATACCCCTTTGTGCTTTTTTGAGTCTGAATCAAGGTTTTTTGCTCTGCACTATGCCAACTGAGCTTTCAGCAAACACCCAAACTAGAGACAGGCATTCTTGAAAAAGTTAATGTGTAATATTTTTTGTTTTCGGTGGTAAAGATTTTCTTAACAATAGTTAGGCCTATTTAATATAGTACATGTTGATGTAGCTCTTTTTTTTTTCTATTTCAGCTGAGTGGTGTCTATGATCTTGTTGTGAACTGCACTGGCTTGGGCAGCAGAGGGCTCGCATCTGACACAGATCTGCACCCTGTCAGAGGACAATTGATCCGTCTGACAGCTCCCTGGATTAAACATTTTGTGCATACGGATGATAGTAAATACATCATGCCTGCGTAGGTGGAGTTTTGTCTTTTCGAATTTCTCCATAGGACTAACTCATAGAGCAATGATAATGGGGAGAACAGGCATGTATCAAAGTGTAATCACGGCTATGCTCATTATATAATATATATTTTAATATATATAAAGGTTATTCTTTTTTTTTCATTATTGTATGCTCAAAATGGCAGAGGGTTTTTTTTTCTTATGGCCTAATATGCTGACTCTTCTCTTTCTCCTCTGACCTTTCCCAAAAGTGTAATAAGTGACTGGCAGCACGATTGAAGCAAATGACCCAACTGGGAACTGTTTAGGTATTTGGTGAGAGAATGGAACGAGTGTGCAAAGAATAATTAATTATAACTGAGTTGTGTGGCTTATCAGAATTTATCCATTCTTATCTCCTGGTACTGTATTCTGACTACATAGTGTGACTGCAAAAGGCGTTGCTTCTATTTTCTTTGCTTGGTTGTATTTGCAGTGTGCAGGTTGAAATATACTTCATAGGCCGTAAACAGTGATTATTGCAGTTGGTATTTTCCTCAACATGGCTGGTTCACGTCGCTATTGACATTCTTTAATTTTCAATTTTTGGATTGGAAAACAAAGAAAATGTTAATGTGAGATGAAAGGAAAAAGTCAGGAATTATATTTTGTTCCAGTGTTACCACTGCTTTCGGAGTAAACATGTTCATTTTAAGCAACCTCCACTGTATCCCCCCCACAGATCAGAGACTGTGGCTGTGGGAGGAGAGAAGCAACCAAACAGAACAGATATGGCCCCGCTGGCGTCTGACCACCATGCAGCCTGGAACAGTTTGAGGGACAGATTCCCTGCCCTTGAGGTATGTGACATTCTTTTTTGGGAATGCTTTATAAATAGGAGGAAAAATTATGTTTCACTTCTTTTTTAAAAATGTTTGTATGTATTGCTTCCAAGTTTGCTATCTTTGATTAGAAGTTGTACAAAACGACTCCCAGAAATGCCCTTCTTTTTCTGATACTTGTAGGCCTACTTAATAATGAATGTGAGGGTGACCTGAGTTATCACCAGGGAGCTTAATGTTCTGGCCCTCAGAATTTTCAATTTTTTTTATCACACTGTCCACGTGGTTTTATGCCCAAAAAAATTCTGAAATTATGCAAACTGAGCTGAAAAATGTGAAATTATGCTATTCTGTTAAGATTTTAACAAAGAATGATAAAGGAAAATAATCAGAAATTATTTTAAAAAATGATCTTTTGTTAAATTATGCGGGGTGCATAAAACCCCAGGGACAGCATTCTAATCTGTGGTATTATAAATTGCATTTGCTCAAGAAATATTTTGTCGAAAATAAAATTCTAGATTTTGAAAAAAAAACAAAAACCATAACGTAGGTATAATTGTTAAAAAAATGAAATTTTTTTTTTTCTCCCCTTGAAAATTTGGACTCCTGGGCTTAGATCTAGTATGGGACATTTGAATCAAACAGCTTACCGACGCAATGATGCTTGTTATGCAGCTATGAAATAGACGATTCAAATCTTACAAGATGCCTTTATTGATGTGATTTTCTTTTATTTCAGGGAAGCAAAGTGTTATATGACTGGGTAGGCCTTCGCCCTCAAAGATCAAAGGTCAGGCTGGAAAAGGAAATGTTAAATTTCAATGGCAAACGCTTGCAGGTATTCTTGTTGTTTGTGCCTACTCTATGGTAACAGTACCATGTATTTGTGTGATGTCTTTTCTCTTGCATTTTCTATCATGTACAGTGAATCTAGGATAAAATTAAGTCAGGCTTTTATGAAAACTGAGTGGGTGGTTGGCGGGTCCTCTGGTGTGGTTTTCTCTTTCTTTCCTAACATCTATCGTCCGTATCTCCCCTCCTTCTTTTTTATGTTTGTTACTCTCTTGTAACACTTCTAATCTTCTGGCGCTCATATGACCTTATGCAATTGCGAGCGCCGTAAAACCTCTACTAAAATTAAACTGAAAACTGACATTCAGTGAAAGGAGAAGGATCCCCTTTTTCCCCCTCATAATCAATAAAATAACATGGTAATCGAGTAAAAATTAATAGAACCAAACATGACTTCCGTTCAGAACAAACGTCTCTTTCGTTGTCAATAAAATAATACTCACGAAAGTCACACCTTTCTTATATTATAACAAACAATTAAATTCAATAAACTTGAAGGTCGCGCCTGACACCAGTACAGTCGAACCTGCTCTGATGGCCACCTCTATAAGACGGCCACCTGTACAAACGAACACTTTCCATTTCCCCCTTGCATTTTTTCGATATAATTTAAGCGTGTAAAATGGGCACCCATCCAACGCGGCCGCGGCCACCATATTTCAACACACAACCCCAATCATACAAAGCAATAACACCTGTCTTAGACGGCCACCTTAGTGACCCCATTACGCTTTGTCATAAATCAAGCATTGGCCCCTGGCGTTGTGGGTGAGCTGTCATAATCTAAAAACCTGTCAGTGTTAGGTATTCCCTCCAACTGATCATGTTGCATAGGCCCCTCCCACTGTTGAACAATAGGTAACCAAAATTCATTTTCAGCTGCTGGGGAGGGAAGCGTGTGATCCCAAATAACCCACAAGCCCTGCCTGCAACCCGTACACAAATCGTAAGTGAGATGAGGGATTACTGTTTACCCAGTCTGTAACAAAGTAACAATGGACGTCAGCATGAACTTGTGACAGAAGCGTCGCTTGTCTTCCGTGTGGTGGTGACCCGTGTGTTTGTTTTACCATAGCACTTGGTCCCCCTTGTCTGACACATTTCGTTTTATTGTCACCCGTGCACAAAAGCAGCAACAAAAGAAAAAAAAAAACCTAGCGAAAACAACAACAACAAAAATAACTACAACAACAACGCAACTACCTTCAGTTGGGACCTCAGAAAGGAAGGATTTGTTTTCTCAGAAAGGAATGGTTTGTTTTCTTCATCTTGATCAGTCCTGCCTGAGACGGCCACCTGTTTATACGGTCACTTTTTTCCTTGACAATGGGTGGCCGTCTTACACAGGTTCGACTATATTTATGTGAATTCCACTCTACTGTAGAAATGCAGTAAGGACCTGTGATGTTTACCTGAATCATGAGAGATCATGTATGTAGAAGTGTGTACTTATTCAAAATCTTATCTCTCGTCTCTTTCATATATAGAGTCTATCTTCAGACAGATGTTATATAGTATAATAGTATAAGGACTGGAGGTTTAAAAAACCCACCAAAATCAGGCAATTTGATTTTTTGGCAATTTAATTGTAGCCAAGAAAAGAGGAATATGAATTTCCACATTTCCAGTTCTGTCTGCTTCTTGAAAATGAAAAAAGAAATTAGGTGGGCAATATGATTGGGCGACAAAATAGACTGATCAAGAAGCATCAGAGGAACCTGTTAGTGTTATTGTATTATTATGCCTAGCTTACTCACTTTTCCTTACTGTAATTAAACTTAAACTGAATCTCTCAATTTCTTCCTCACAGGTTATCCATAACTATGGCCACGGAGCATTTGGCATCAGTCTGAGCTGGGGCACAGCAGTTCATGTGTCAAAACTTGTTGAGGATATAGTACGCCCTGTATCAAAACTGTGAAAGAACTTAATTGTTCTTTCCAAATTTTTTGTTTTTGTTTTCTGGAGTTGTCACCTCTGGCTCAGAGATTGACGTGCAATGACTCACCAGTACCTGTAGTCACAAGCTGCTGTTATCTGTCCCCGGGGGTTTATGCACCCAGCATAATTTAGCAAAATTTGTTCATTTTTTGCATAATTTCTGATTATTTTCCTGTATCATTCTTTATTAAAATTAACAGAATGGCATAATTTCACATTTTTGGGCTCAGTTTGCATAATTTCAGAATTTTTTGTGCATAAAACCACGGGGACAGTGTTATACACTCTGTCACACTTAGGCCAGTCCATGCCCTGATGTTATCTGTCCACATTGTTCTTTGTCCATCCTTGGCTCTTTCTTTCCAAACTGTTATGCTCATCATATTCATACAATCGTTGCAATGTCTTGTGGCCTAAATTATTATGGAATTTCAGTTTTTGTTTCTTAAAGGGATGGGGCTGATGGACAAATAACATAGGAATAGGCTGTCAAAGATTTCTAAAAACAACTAAAGGCAGATGGGTGTGTGGTTGCCACAGCTACCCAAAGTTGAACCTCAACCGCTTCGTGACTTAAATAATGAATGCCGTCATTTTCCCTTAAACATAGCCAAGATGCTGCTGTGGTGTACCGTTCCCCATGATGATGAAGGCCGTCCATCTAAGATTGTATTCTGCATGCTGTTTCTAGTTGACGCATTTCGTAAAACTAATCGCAGATTCACACTCAGCGATACCTTTTCCATACAAAGAAATCTTTTCCTTTTAGAGATAGTAGTATTTACAAGTGGGTGGTTGGTGGGTGCTCTGGTGTGGTTTGCTTCTTCCTTCCTATCAAACACCTATCATCTTTATCTCCCCTCCTTCTTTTTTGTGTTTGTTACTCTCTTGTAGCACCTCTAATCTTCGGCCCTTCTATGGCCGCATTGTGTTGCGAGTGCCTAAGACACTTACTACAACAAAGTATTTACATACCAGGTCTAATTATAGGTAACTGACCAATAAATCTAGCCTTACTTTTTGTCCCTGGGGATCCAAAACTGTGCCTGGTGAAGCACGAACTGACACTGTGTCACAAAGGGTTAAAGATAGGGGCGCCACTTGAAATTCACGATTTTGATTTAAACTATGGAATTCCTGTTGTTTACTGATTTGTAAAGTTTGTATACTTCTGTATCTAAAATAAGAAAAGGAAAATAGACAAACCTCTCAATCATATCATAAACGGCCTTTGAAAACATAATAAAGGTGATGCAGCTTTCGCCAAATTTTTACTAGCAGGATTTTCCTCATCATTTGACACATGATATATTGTCAAGGTTTTTTAACTGAAAACACCGAAAGCCGTCCATACTATTGGCGAAACATTACTCTCTCCTTTTTCTAAACAAACAACTTGTCTGTGTGACATCAATGCGAAATGAGCCTTTGCCAATAGCACCACGCATAATTTCGTATTATTTTCCTTTATCATTCTTTGTTAAAATTAACAGAATGGCATAATTTCACATTTTTGGGCTCAGCTTGCATAATTTCAGAATTTTTCTTGCATAAAACGACGAGGACAGCAATAGGTGGTGATTCCTTCATATATACCTTACAAAATCCTTTCCTTTTCCAATAAAAATGGTGCTACAGCTTTAAAATTTGTAAATGTTGTGCTTAATATGATGGTTCAGCTATGGGAGCAGAGAAATAGCAGTGGGGCCATCAGAAGAAATCTTACAAATATTTTTTGTTGTGAAATCGATGTTTTTTTAGAACAGTGAAATAATTGCTGAGAAACTCGTCCTTCTACACTTTTACTACTACAACTACATTATTTGTGGTGCTATATCAGGAATAATGATATCTGTAGCTGTTTTTTCTTTGTGAGCCTTCTAGATTTTCATTTTCGAGCATAACTTGTGTAGTCATTTCGCAAGGCAACTTCGATTCCCCATGACTTCGTTTCTATCGGCCATTTTGGGGCCCTGGAATGAGTATAATATCGTTCAATGTTTACTCTCTGCCTTGACTGATTCTGAGGCTGTGACCGTGCGTAATTTGGCTGAAACAGAAATCCCGCGACGCATCGAGTTCTGTCATCATTTGTGTTATTTCGAAAGAGCCAATCAGAAAACGAGAAATAATAGGGGTGGAGAAATGTGCATTGTTCCTCTCGATCCATTCAAAGCGTGTTGTTGTGCGAAGCTAGACGGCGAGAAGAATAACGATGGATGAGACGAATTCATTTATGTTTTCTTATGTCGTCATCAAATCTTAACATGTTATGTTCGAAAAAAGCTGTTATGTCCGAAAAATGTTTACCCCCTTTTAATTAAATTTCAACCAAGTAATGATTAACATGGCACTACGTTCCAATGCTCAAGTAGTGGTAGATCTAGATGCGACCATGCGTGCTTTGCTAGACGTCAACGAGAGGGGAAAATTTGATGTAATTGCTGACATGTTCCAAAATGATGACAAACTTTTATCCATTAAGTCATTAAGTGTCATCGGGGTTATGTTCGAAAGATATTTGGTATTTTGCGTGGAATTTTTTCACCATTTGCATGTATTATGAGTCAGACTGAATATACTGAATCTTTGTTTGCCAAAATTTTCAAAAAATGAATTAAAATATAAAAATGGAACGTTTTTCATTTCTTTCGGACATAACTATGATGACACAAATGCGAACGCAAAGACATTCAGAATTTGTTTTTTCTGTGATTTTTATATGCTCTTCATGCAAGCATTGAGAAAACTATTAAAATAATTTTATGTTCCAGAAATTACTTTTCAGGGCATTTTTCTTTTCTTTTTTTTTTTCATCATTAACATGACATTGTGAGTCAAATTGAATCTTCTGAATCGTTTTTAGCCCAAATTTTGATAAAAGAAATTAAGATATATGAAAATGGAAAGTTTTTCATTTCTTCCGGTCATACCTATGATGACACAAATGCAAACACAACGACATTCAGAATTTCTTTTTTCTGTGATCCTCCCCATTTTATATGCTCTTCATGCTTATGTTTGATAATTAAAGTAATAAGAAAACTGTTAAAATAATTTTGTATTTTCTAATTTTAACAAATGTGCCATCATAGTTGTGTCCGAAAGAATTTGACTTGATGTTATGTAACTTCAGTTACACAGCTTAGCGTGCCATCTGTAGGTCTATAAATACATGTTTTTGTAGGAGGAGATATATACATGAATAGAAAAATTCAAGTAAAAATGAAATATCAAAAACTTTATCATCAACCCTCTGTGCTACATTTTTAGGTACCCTTCTATTGGCAAAAGCTCATATATCATGTATGGTCGCTTGTAAGCTCAAGGGGGCTATCCCCATAAGTGTTGTTTTGAGAAAATCAAAGGTAAAGTTTTTGCCCCTTGTTCAGTTTTCTTTAAAAGACAAGGAGATTTTTTTACATAGCCAAACTAATATACTCACCAATGAAACCAAACTTCTCCTATAGGTAGAGCAATGCCCACTTTTGGTGTAGGTCAAGATTTCTGGAAACCCCCGAAATCTGGGTTAGCCCGCTTGTCCTTATTAAAAGCGACCATATATATAGAAAGCTGCCAATGGATACGACCAAAGTTTAAAATTTGACCTTTGTTTCTGAGCAATATTTTCATTATGGAGCCATGACTTTTCTTCAATTATATGGTGATTTGGGGATAAGAACAAAATTAACGTTCATTCAGAGTTTCATCTGTCAAAGCTCAATTTTATATATAGCAAAGATTGCGCTCATATTTTCTGTTGTAGCCTATTTCTATGTTGTATCTGATAATCTGAACCATATAATTCGCATTCTGCAATAATTCTACGACTAAAACATTTTTCCTTAATATGGCATTTTGGGGCTATTTTTTGCGTACTACTACCTGTGGTCAAGAAATAAGAATGCCTTAGAAAGGGATATATTTCATGTTATTTTCAAAATGGCTGTGGTTTCCCAGTGGTGGTGGGTTGGCCAAAATTTGGGTGGGGCTTTGGTTGCTTCCACTTCTTTACCACTGAATAGCAAGCAGTAAGAACAAAACAGTGATGATTTTTCTATACTCACAGCATTTTGAGAACTATTTAACGTCTCTTTGTTCTAAGTTCAACTTTTCTGGATACTGGATGGTGGGGTCGAAGCCGTTTCACCTCCAAATTTCCTCTAATGAAAAAGTTGCATTAAAAGTGGTTCGATGAGATTTTTAAGTTAAATCTCAATGGCACAAACACAAACATGCACACACAGCACTTCAAATATATTCCTTTTATGGGCCATATGATGTAGTCAAAGAAAGTAGGAAACACATATAACAAAGGTCCAATGAGTGCATAGGTAACTTTGTCACTTGGAGAAAGTGTGTTGTAAACTTTCACCCTATTGTCAGGGCTAGGAGTGGGTTTTTTTCCAAGTCTTCTACTTTTTTACAAGAAGAGTTTCTTTAAGGAAAGGCCTTGGGAACGAACTCAACCTTTGCTGAGCACTAATGACTTTTGAATGGCTGTTGTGTTAGGTTACTATAGTTGTAAACGGTGACAACAATGATTGGATAAGCGAGCAAGCCGCCAAGTTGGTTACTCTGTGTTCATTGAGTGTGATCATACATAATGATTTCAACTGCTTATTTCATTATTTAAGAAACTTTCATTTGTTTTGGGATAGAGAAGGAGTGGGGGGGGGGTGGGCAAGCCCATGAGCCCTTCACTATCCACCGCCACTGTGGTTTCCATAACAACTGTAGTAAGCAGACATACATCAAAAGATCTCACTATGTATCTGAGTCGTATATTAGACAGATTTTGTCACATTCTTAGTGTTAAAAATGGATCTCGAGAGTCGTTCCTCTATGATTTCCTGTCCTGTTGTTCTGTTCCATGTTATTATTATTATTATTGATATTCTAATTCTAGTAATCTACCTTTGTGATTGAAGTGGTGTTTTTTTTCAATGTCTGTTTATTCTGATAATAGGGGAAGTAAAATCAAATGATTACATTGGTTATGTCTCCGTAACAATTTCTCCTCATGATCTAAGACACTTCTGGCACTGACACTGTGCAAAGAGATGTTCTTTGTACACATGTAATGCCAAAGGATTAAGTTCTTCTGCTGTGTCTTGTTAAAGAGTTAAGGTTTAAT